GTGTTGTCTTTTGGTGTAGCGTGTTGAGAACTTTCATGGTTTGTTTCTTGCTCGGTCTGCTGGGTCAGCAGTTGTGTCAGGCCATTTAGATCTGTGTACAGAAGGATGAAAACTTGTGTTGTTTTTTAAATTTCTCTTTCACTTTTTTTCCATTAATGGTATGTGACCTACTTGGGTATTATTTTATTAATATTTAGTTTTACATTTATATAATTGACCTTGGGTGGTCTGTGGTGCAATCGCCAGTAATTTTCCAGCACGTTATGTGGTGATAGTCACCAATAATTTTGATTGGTTAATTCGTATTTTTTGCAACTTGCTATCCAATAGTCTTATGACTTCGAAGGTGACCTTCCGTAGTTCTGGGGTGGTATTAAAACCTGGAACACGCGTCTCTCCAGGCAGTTGTTTACCAGACATTCCGGGAGAGATTGTCATGTATAACGCCATATTGTATTCTATAGTTTAAAACAGCATTTTCCCCCTATTACTTGTGATTTTAGTATCATTCTGTGCCTTAATTTAGCTTCATATAAGTTGTGTTGATTTCCTAAGTGCCATATCCTGTGATAATTGTTACCTAGTGTTTTTTCTACAACTCGTAAGTTGGGTTTTGCTTTATTAGTATATTTGTGATATTTTGTATAGAACTAGAGTCATATTTTGTACGTGTACCCATTTTAAAAGGTTATTAATAGATTAAAAGTGTTTTTGGTTACAAGAGTTCTTCGTGTTTCCCTTAAGAATCCACGTTGAGTTTTTGTTTCTGTTACCCTTTTAGTTTTGTGTGCCATCCGTTTGTAACCAACAAAAAGAATCAGGTACGTTCGTTAGCTTTACCAGAGGTAGTCTAGCGCTCGTAATAAAATCAATAGGAACTTATATAGTCATGAATGAAAGGGGGTATCGTGGTCGGGCGGTAGAACTTACGACTCCAAACCCTAAAGTCTCGAGTTCGAATCAAGGTCAAAATCAATAGAAGGTCTCTGAGTACTGATGGGTTCCTAACTCACGTTAGGGAAAGTAAACTCGGATGGGCATAGTGATGAATACACTATCTTTTCATATGCCGAGACCACAGAAATAAAATTTTATTTTATTTGTTTATCTTCTATATCAATATTTTTTTAGAAAATTATAAAAATATAAACAAAATGTATTTAAATATTTATTTTAACTGGTCGTCAACCTGATATAGTTATAGAACCTTAAAGTTAAAAAGGTGGTAAAAAAAATAAAAAAACAATGAAAACGTAGTGCTTAAAACAACGTTTCCCATTAGTGAATATTAAAAACAAACAAAGCAAACAGCCACAAAATATAAAGCTCAACTTAACTAACACGACTAGACAAAGAACAGAGGATAAAAAACAGAGAGGTAGTAACGGCTATTTATATATGAACTGCATGAGGAATATGGCCTATTGTATGTCAAGCTTTGCTGAATAAATTATTTTCAATGACTATTTAAACATAAATTTAAAAAAAAAATCGATACTCTTTTGTTTGTCGTCGCGGTATACAAAAGGACGCAGGAAACACCTGCTCCAGCTGGAGTATTTTACTATATAACATGTCTGCACAAAAACGACTCAAATGTTACCTGATATATTACTAACGTCTTAACCATTTTATGCTTTTTTACTTTCTCGTACATACGAAGTATGGAGAAAGTCTTGTACTCGTGCAAAAAAAACGAGATTTTTACAAATCTCGACGTTTTACACCTCACTGATACACGAAAACATAATTTTGCAATATTGTCCGTATGTCTGTGTGTGTGTCTGTGTGTGTGTAAACACAATAACTTGAGTACCGTTACAGCTAGATTGATGAAATTTCATATATAAGTATTTTATCAAAATCGTAGATCCAGATCAGCTTTTAAGCGATTTCCGATAACCGGAAGTGGTATTTTTTCTACTTCGAATTTTTCAAAAGCGTATAACTTGAGTACTATTTCAGATAGATAAATGAAATTTCACACGTTAGTTAAGGATCTAATTCTCTACCATCTGTCAAAGTTTGAGTAATTTCCGTTGAACGGAAGTACTAATTTACCCTATTTCCGATTTCTCGAAAAAAAACGCATGTAAATTTACAAAGTACTAATAATATTGCGCACTATCATTCACATTTAATTTGGCGTTCACTTGGTGTGCAATTCTTTTTTCTACGAAATTTTATTCTATTTTAAAAACTTTAAGTAGGCCCCTATTTAAAATGGAGTTCCCATCCCCTGTTATTTTATATAAGAATATTCGAGAAAGTTTAGCTGAGATCACTCCCGGTTTATTTTAAATAAAAAAATTTTTTTCTTCAATCCCCAAAATGGTTTGTCTTTTTTTTTTTTAAATTCATCTATTTCGATAAACGTTTTCAAATGAGGAAAAAAAATCAAAAGTAATAAAGCGACCTATTTGTGTTATGTACAGACAGCCGATGATAAACTGTTCATATGGGTTAATTAAAGGAAAAACTAGACAACAATGAAAATACTGCAGAAGTGTCGATGAAAAAGAAATGACATTAATTAGTCCAAGAATAAAAATAATTGTTTACTCTAACTAGAGACAGAAAAACATCCAATAAAGGGAAAGCACTCATGTTTAACATAGGGCAATAAAATACGATTCTTTGCATTGAGAAAATATTACGTCGTAGTGTATTCAAAGTTTTAAACTAATCGACCTTACCATATATAGACCACACCGATAGATAATAAAAAAATACCTTTGTTGACTAGTAACCAACGCCTAGCAAGTCGCCACAACAAGGTACATTTACGTTGTGTACATTACAATTATAAGAACACTATTAGAACCAAATAAAGAATAACCAACTTAATGAGTAGTGTAAAACCTGTAGACAAAAACCGGTCCGCGCTCATGTTCACAGTACATTTACATATTTACTTCACCTTTAATTTAATACTTGCAACAACAAATGCCAAACGACAGGCTGCATAAGCATAAATAAAACAGCTAATGTTTAATTATAAAAAGAATATTTAAGTATCAAGTAAAAATTACAGCGTTGCTATTTACGCGTGTGAAAGTTCAATGATCATCCAATTGTTGCCACACAGGGACCATTTTATTACCAAAAATAAAAATGCACCATTACGTATCAAATTGTATGAGTGGATCGGATCCCAATTCGAAAACAAATTATGGAAATCTTCAGATCGTACAATAGTGCAATGGCCTTTGCCTCGATGGGAGCACAAGTGGATGAAGCAGTGACTAAACGTCCAGGTCCTTATTGCTACAGAATCCATGGGCAAATATACCACGCTACCTCTGCACTATACCCATGTGAAGGCGAATCACCAAAATGTGCCCAATTGTTCATTTTGGATTCGGCTTTAGCTTTAAAAGAGAGAATGTCTAATCCTCCAAAGAGTAGATGTATGACTGTAGTTATGGAGAATCTCCAAAAAGTTTTGTGAAATAAACCCGTTATCACGAGAATATAATAACTTGATGGCATTTGAAAAAAATGAAATGCTCAAAGCAAATCGCGATTATCGAGCTCCCATCGAATATAGCATGACTGTCATGAAGGAAAGTGTTGTTTGTAATGATGTGCACCCTGGCAGAACCAGCACTCCCACTGTTAGAGGAAAATTCGCCGCTGTTTTTCCCAGTGCATATGTTGCACCCCCCCCCCCCCCCCGAATACCTACACAATACAATTCATCCGAAAACCGGTAATTTACACAACTTATCTATCCTAAGCAGACTCTGCGATCTGATGTGCTACCCTGTGCTTTTTTCCATAAGGAGATTCAGGTTGGACCACAGATCTAAAAAACAACCAAGGGTCAAGAAAATGTATCTCAACTACGGTGATACTCCTACCATTTTGCCATTCGCTTTGGAAAGTTTAATCAGTTCCTCAACATAGGAAAGTTTACTCACCAGTTTATGATTGACACATATTGTAAGACAGAGGCTAATCGATTCAATTGGTTTCGTAAAAATCAAAACTCAATCCGAGCTGAAGACTACGATGTGTTTCACCGATTTGTCAACAACCAGAACCAGAATGATGTTACCAGATTTCCAGAAAAAGAAATAATTTTGCCTTCAACGTTTCAAGGCAGTCCCAAAACTATGACCCAGAACTATCAGGATGCTATGGCCATTGTAAGAAAATATGGTAAACCTGATTTGTTTGTGACAGTAACCTGCATTCCAAAAGGAGAGAAATAAAGTAAAATTTACTAGCAGGCCAGCAGCCATGTTATTGGCATGATTTGGTAGCCAGAGTTTTAGAAATAAAGCTGAAATTGCTCTTGAATGATTTAACTAAATTTCATAGATTTGGACGTGTTAGAGCAGAAATACTTTACGTTATAGAATTTCAGAAACGGGGTCTACCACACGTGCCCATACCTGGGAAAATTAAAGAATAAACAATAGTTTGTGCAGAAAACCCAGATAAAGCTTCACGTCTACATGAAATAGTGAAAACCTGTATAATACACGGGCCATCTGGTCCGCTAAATCCAAAATGAACATGCATGGAAATGGTAAATGCAGCAAAGAATACCCAAAAGCTTTCTGTGCAGAGACCAGCAGCAATGTCAGGGGGTATCCGCAATATCAACGCCATGACAATGGACATTCTATTGAACGTGGTGGAAACAACTTGGACAACGGATAGGTGGTGCCATACAACCCATACCTGACTCTATAACAGATGGATAGTGCCATACAACCCATACCTGACTCAACAACAGATGGTTGGTGCCATACAACCCGTACCAGACTCTAAAATATAACGCCCACATAAATGTAGAGATATGAAGCTCAGCTCAAAGTGTGAAGTATTTGTTTAAATACGCTTACAATGGAAATGACTGTGCACTTATAAAATTTCACACAATTAACACAGAGCAATAAACTGGTATTGAATGGGACGAGGTAAAACATTATTTGGAGACTCGATATGTAAGTGCACCTGAAGCATGTTGGAGGCTCAGGGAATATAAAATGCACAACGAAACGCATCTTATGGAAAGGCTAAATGTCCACCTTGAGGACAAACAAACAATATGCTTTATTCCAGGCAAAGAGGCTGAAGCTGTGCAACAGAAAGCAACAAAGTCCAAGCTTCTGGCTTTGTTTAAGCTCAATCAGGAAGATCGAAATGCCCGAGATTTTTTATATATTGAAATCTCCGAACACTACACATGGGATGACACAAACTCCAAATGGAAACCGCGTCTTAGGGGACACGAAACAACAATTGGAAGAATATATTCAGTAAGCCCAACAGATAGAGAAAAATGGTTTCTCCGTATTCTTCTTCTCAATGTTAAAGGTGACACATCTTACACTTACCTTAGAAAGGTTGAAAGAAATCCTACCCATTTGCAACCTTCCAGGAAGCATGCATTTCAAAGGGTTTGACCGATGATGACTCCGAATGGGATGCATGCCTAACAGAAGCTGCAATCCATTAAATGCCAGTGCACCTGAGGTTGTTGTTTGCTTTTAATGTCTCATATGTGAGCCTTCAGATGCAGCAGCATTATTGTAGTTTCCACTGTTTTTACTATTTCGCATAACGTAAATAAATATTAAATACACGCAAATAGCTAAAACATATTAAACGAATCAATGTCAAATATTATTTTTGTTTAGTTTCCTAGAAAAATCGGATACATTTTAATAAAATAATAACAGTAGGGTAGAAAAATCTAATTAATTAAACTGTTTTGTAATTTTGCCAAAGGAAGTAATGTAAAAATCAATTCATCTCACGCTAAAAAAACGTAAATGCAAAATCCCGAAGACGGAATAATTGTTGGAATAGTGTAATTAGCAAAAATGTGAATGCAAATTCTGCAGATGTGTAAGAAGACAATATTGTTGGAATATTATAATTAGCATGGATTGATAAAAGGCTATATTTTGTTTATTTTATTCTCTGAACGTACTGTTTACAAATTATAATGTCTAATCAACTATTCCGCACAATTATCTTCATTAGGTGCGCAATGGTTTAAGTCATGAACCTCTATTTTAAACTTTTAAAATTGATAGTACTGAAAATAAAATGCATGAATTAAAAAAGTGCAATATGGTACGTAAAACACGGATATTTTAAATACTTCCTTTTAGTTTTATTTATTTTATACAATGAACGTACTGTTTACTAATTATTATTCTATCTTTCGGTTTGCGGACAAGCTGGGGGTTTTATAGTCGCTCACTGAATCAGTCGCGTCCTCCGGTGCTCGGACAGGGTGTGATTTCGCGCCACGGGATAGACTGTGAGCACTATGCGTATACTTTTGCATTTACTTCGTGTTTATGTTATGAGTGTTGTTTTTTGTGTTTGCGTGTGTGTTTTCGTTTGTGTTTGCATTGTGTTTGTTTGCAGTGTTTGCAGTAGTTTTTTTTTGTGTTTGTGTTGTGTTTGTGTTGTGTTTATGTTGTGTTTGTTTTGTGTTTGTGTTGTGTTTGTGTTGTGTTTGTGTTGTGTTTGTGTTGTGTTGTGTTTGTGTTGTGTTTGTGTTGTGTTTGTGTTGTGTTTGTGTTGTGTTTGTGTTGTGTTTGTGTTGTGTTTGTGTTGTGTTTGTTTTGTGCTTGTGTTGTGTTTGTGTTTGTGTTGTGTTTGTGTTGTGTTTGTGTTGTGTTTGATTTGTGTTTGTTTTGTGTTTGTGTTGTGTTGTGTTGTGTTGTGTTTGTGTTGTGTTGTGTTTGTTTTGTGTTCGTGTTCGTGTTCGTGTTGTGTTCGTGTTGTGTTTGTGTTGTGTTGTGTTGTGTTTGTGTTGTGTTTGTGTTGTGTTGTGTTGTGTTTGTGTTGTGTTTGTGTTGTGTTGTGTTTGTTTTGTGTTTGTGTTGTGTTCGTGTTGTGTTTGTGTTGTGTTTGTGTTGTGTTTGTATTGTTTTTGCGTTGTGTTTAGTTTTGTTCTGTTCGCAAGTTGGTACATTTAAAAAAGATTTACCGTGGCGGAGCACGGGTATGCAGCTAGTTATATTATACAGTCTCCTGTTAAGACGTACAAGTTGGGGATTGTACAATTTAATTGTGAATTATTTCCACTCAATTTTGCTTTGTGTGTTGAATTAAATTAATTTTACTCCGTCGCAATTAATTCTAATATTACATCTTATATTGCATTACGATTTTTAAACATTTCTCAGATCTTGTGGAATAAAAGCTACTAAAATGCATTGTGCACTGTGCTATCTACTTATTTGTTTACGTTTTGGTGAGTAGACATTCACAAACATATTCACGAGATCAAAATGCAAATTGAGTATAAATTATATATATATATATATATATATATATATATATATATATATATATATATATATATATATATATGTATATATATATATATATATATCTTTATTATGGTTGTTCTTATTTTTATTTTTAAATTATTTTTTAAAATTTTTGTATTTGTGTTTGTTTTACGTTTGCGCTTTTGTTTGTTTTGGTTTTGGTTGGTTGTGGTTAGAGTGAGCGATGCCGGATGTTTACTAATTACTAAACCCACAAATCATGGTCCTTTACAGAGGTTTTTCAAAGATGCAACTGCAGGCTTGACCGGGAGGGCTAGTATATATATATATATATATATATATATATATATATATATATATATATATATATATATATATATATATATATATATATATTCAGACACGTGTGTGTGTAACTATATATTTATGTATACATACGTTAATATATAAACACAATAATTAATTGCAAATGTTTAAAAACAGTTACCGTCAGATCGATATCGAACAGCCTATCTACGGGTGCCTTCAAATATATTACGTCACCAAATGTTACAGCCCTCAGCTTTGGGACCGGATGGTCATCCAGAACACTCTCCGCATGCGCAGCAGCGTGCTTGAAGCAAAAGCTATCCTGCATGGCTTTCGTGTACAACTCCACGAGCAAATCTTGCAATGAGGTGATCCTGGCCAAATATTGCGACAAGTCCACAGCGGGTAAAATATACATGCGTTCATACGTGGACAACCAAATCCCTCACTGTGTTCTACCCGTAGGTTATCAGCTCTATTCCGACGGCAACATTACGGTCAAAGCTAAGCTAGTGTCGTCTACGACGAAGAGCTACAAGGAATCAGCGATACAGTGTATGCTGGAAGGAGCTCGGCTGATAACAGTCACCAGCATAGAAAAACTACAGGTGGTGGCAACAATAGCTAACAGCCATCACGTGTGGGTGGGGTGCGATGATTTCGACGGGGATCATCACTTTAATTGGAACTTTGACGGATCCCCCGTACCGGACAAGCTGATGGCCACGCTGGCTTTGGTCGAGAGAAATAACTCGTACCCCAGTGGTAATTGTTGCCAGTTGCACCCCGTGGCGCCCCTTTTTCTGCATATTTCGCCGTGTATAGACATGAACAACTATGTGTGTGAGATGTAATAATCTGTGGCGTCACTAGGTCGGGTGTCACATGAACCCATAACCTATTTTGTTACACCACCAGTTTATAAGGTGGTGCTTTACTTTGTGTTTTAATATAATTTCTTACAAATACGAATTCGTATCCGTTAAAAAAAAATGCTTTTTATGATTTTATGTCACTCGCTTAATTTGTGTCACCCGATGCGGTCCGCACTTCGACACGCCTTCTGACGCTACTAAAATAGTTACATCAGTAAATTGAAATTATTACCCAATTTGGTAGTTAAACATTTTAATAACACTTGAAATTGCCTTGCGATTGTTCGATATGCACCACACAACTCCTTTTTTTTTTTAAATACATCACTACATGCACTGAGGCTAACTATGACGATCGTTATTACATCGGTGAACTGCCATTAGTACGAAACGTTGAAATGATTAAGTCGGTGTTTTTTATTACTTTAGACTCCGGGATAATATAATATTGCTTTTACTTATTTTGTTAATATTGTGACTCGTACATACATATTACATTTTAACAAAGTTTAATTTTATGATTAAATTTTATAACTGTTAAACCTAAGGATTGTTATGTTTGCCTAGCATATGAACTAAAACTAGTCGTATAATTCTATATCAAATTTACCTCAACTTACGTTTGAGGAAGCCGCTGATTCTATGCAGACAACATAATATGTTAAGACAAGTCAATATTATTTTTAAGTTAACACAAACTGAATACGTTTTAAAAATACTAATGCCCCACAGATTTTTTAGTCTAACCTGTAAAATTTTACAATTGAAATATTTGTACATTTTTTAGTACCTAAAACAAGGTGTACTTTATAATGAACTTCTTGTATGGGTGGAGGATAGCTAAAGTGGAAGGGTGGGGGCTGACACTCATGCAACAATTTGATACAATTTTAGTGTGTTTTCAGATAACATTCATTAAATACATCGCCCAAGGTCGTTGTTTTTCTTTTCCTGACTTGTACGAATAGACGGATGTAAACAAACCGACCGTTGAGAAAGCGTATGCTCTATTTAAAGCTACCGCACATTTAGAAATTTCTCCCGGCACTTTATACCATTCTTTCACACCAATCATTTTACTATTTACTCGATAGTGCCCAAGTCACACGGGACAGATGAAGTAGAGTTCATCTATTTCTATGACCTCGGTATACTAAGTGACAGTGTTGTCAACACTATGTTTAGCCGCCTTGTGTATAAGCACATACTTAGATGCATGGGGCAGTGTGGTCTAGAGGTACTGCACTATTCTACTTATGCTATTCTATTTATACTCGAGTTCGAATCAGGGTTCAAATCAGTAGAAAATAACTAAATCCACCTGATGGGTACCTAACTCATGTTATTTTAAAGGCTTCTGGGCATATTGCCTACGATACTATCCTTTCCTATACCGAGGAGCAGGTGAACTCTAGGTCATTTGCCACATAGACCAGTTGGCTCAAAAAGGGTACACCACTTTTTCTTACTTTACTGGTATAATGTAAACACTTTATCAAATTGGTTAAATCCAATATAATCATGATGTTAACAATGTTAATTTTTGATAAATTCTTATTTTTTTGTTCTTTTGGTTCAGATTAGTAGAGAAGACCTATTTTACTGTTGGAGTTAACTATTCATTTTTTAGTTTTGTTAGAAATGTGTGAAAAATGTCACCCTAGTTCATGATGAGTAAATGTTTTTATTTCTCGTTTGACTTCATTGCCAAACTCTGCTTCGTTAAAGGGTATATTCCTAAAGCAATGTCTGAAATTATGATTGCTGTGTCGACTTGACGCAATTTCTCAATAGCAATACAATGTATGCATAAATCAGGAAAAATAACGGCCATTTCCCGAATAATAATCGACTTTGGCGATATCCGAATGACGTAGTTTAAAGAAAGGCTGTTTAATCAACAACCGCTATTTTTAAATAGATATACACATATTATTTAATTTTATTCATATATTATTTTTCTTTCCAAGATTACACAGAGTGTTTATGATTATTGTTTAAGATATTTTAAATATTTTTATTTATACTATTATTATATAAAATGGGAAATGACTTCTGATAAGAAATATGCTTGTTTATTGTATAAATTATTGTTTAGTATTTGTGTTACAAACATGAATAGTTATCTAAATTTCTATTTTGTCGGTTTACTGTTTCATCTTTATACGAGATTCTGCTAACGTTCCACTAACTTGTACGAAATCTTAAAAATGTATTAATAACTATTTAGAACACAACTTATGATTCATCGTGTTAAATGCTACTGTTAAATTCTTTATTAACATTTTTTAACTGGTGGCATTGGGGTTTTTGATGGTATAAATTAATTAAATAATTAATTTAATATATATATATATATATATGTATGTATATATATATATATATATATATATATATATATATATATATATATATATATATATATATATATATAAACTACACTATTTAAATATTACACTAAAACATTGAAGAGTAGTTATCGAACTTTTATTCTTATGGTTATCATCATAGATTTTAAAAAAATCAATTCGAAATCATGATAATAGAAAAAAATGATTTTTTTTTAATAAATATATAACTTTAACACAAGTTTTCCCAGAAGCACTTGTATTTATAGAAGTGAGTTAATACCTACATAAAGCAAAACATCTAGTAGATTTATTTGATATAGAGTTCAGGTTTTAATAATGCACTTTAAATGGATGTTTAATTAGAATAGAAAATATTTCTAGCATTTACAAATATTCTTTATAATCTCAAAACTGGTTATAATTATGTTTATTTAAAAGATTAAAAATAACAGTAACAATTGAGAAGGTAACAAACATAGATTTTAAGTTAGATCTGTTTTCAATAACAATGCGTATTAACATGCTTCTTCAAAATAGACGCTGTGCTTTTTTTACAAGCTTTTATTTAACTCACTTCCTCTGTCGACAGTCTGTCGACATTCTGTCGACAGTCTGTCTGTCTAGATGGAAACGCAGGAGTGAAAATTCGGACAGTTCTACTTGACCGATACGGTTCACAGTTGGCACGTGGGTCAAGACATGAAGACAATGCAATCTGAATCTAAATTTGACTTAATTGGATGCCTAATTAATTTTTTATGAATTAATTAAAACTTGGACCGAATTAGTAGGCATGTCTATCCAACCACACCACATACGTCATCACGTTCAATCAGGTTTAATAGCTGCGCTATCACGTTCAATAGACGCGCAATGGTTTTTAGTCTTGTAACAGTATTGCAAATAAAACATGTAAAGTACTGAAAATTTTTTTCATAAAAAACGTTTTAATAACAAGCTTTTATGTAATGATGCACTAAAAAGTAGAAAATAAATTATACACTACTATTTAAATTACTATAAAGAAAAGCGCGGGTCTCTTCTCAAATATTAGTAAAGGTATCCAATAGGTACTAAAGTACTAAAGTGACCCATGATTTTCTTTATAGTAATTTAAATAGTAGTGTATAATTTATTTTCTACTTTTTAGTGCATCATTACATAAAAGCTTGTTATTAAAACGTTTTTTTATGAAATTTTTTTAAAAATTTTCTTTAAATTTTAATTAAATGCTAGCTTTATCAATAATATTTACTTTACATAAAAGAGAAAACAAATAAAAAATGTAATTCATCAATGTATAAAGATGTACTTTATAATATATTTCAAATGATATTTAGCAAACAAAAACGTGCTGTGAGAGTGCCTAGATTCTCACTCTGTTGCCTTTATCTGTTGAGCTAAATGAGGATACCATTTATTTAAAGCCTGTATGAAGATGGCAAATGCATCTCCTGGCCCGGCATCGAGAATTAAATCTAGAAATGCGTATACCTTTTCATTTGGACTTTTTTATCCCTTACCCTTTTCATATCGTCGCCAGTAACAATATTATTTTGAAACAAGTAAGGGACGATTATGTCAGGATCCAATTCATTTTGAATTTTCACCCAATTAGCCCGTATTTGCCGCTCATGTCTAGGCAGAAGTTTACCTTTCATTGGCTTGTTTTGCTTATTTCCTAAAGCAGAAATAAAAAATGTCAACAACAATTTTAAGGTTACTTTTTAATGCATAAACTATGCCGCGACTCTATACAAATACAATTTTGATATCGAAAAAAAAAGTATTTAAAAAGATGAATTGATTGCATTAAACTCAGCACCTGGAACACGATTTAGACGACTTGCCGGCGCGCCAATGCTTAATTTTTGACCCATCCTCAGCACTTCATCTAGCCTTGAAAAGTCAATCAAATCACTGGTATCTCTTGTTCTTATAGTTGCAGCTAACGTAAAGAAAAATATTTTTAAAACATCTTATCGATAGTTATGCATGTGCAATTATCCATTATAGCTAAGTTACTATTTTAAAATTTATTCTGTTTTTGCATTGATCTTACTCTTTCATAAATTAAGGCAGTTCACATAATAATAATTTTAGAAATACATGTATAAAATACCTAGTAACCACTTTGTTAGTAATTACTATCATTGAACTATGTTAAATTTATAAAGAAACTGATGCTGGAAACCGAGAAGGTGACGAATGACTTTCAAACAGACCCGCTGCTACATACAAATCATTACGCTTGTTTCCTTGCAGCTTGAAACCTACAATGTGTATTATATATGTATATATATATATATATATATATATATATATATATATATATATATATATATATATATATATGTATATATATATATATATATATATATATATATATATATATATATGTATATATATATATATATATATATATATATATATATATATATATATATATATATATATATATATATATATATATATATATTTGTATACAGGCTATATGTGTAATTAAATATAAAACGATTGTACTTATATTTATTGTATTCTAAAGCTATACTATTGAATGGTGTGGCCTAAGTTATAGAGCGCTAGGATGCTATTTCGAAAGTCACGAGTTTGAATCTGGGTTAAATACTTTACTAATTTTTAATGCGCAATCTCTCGGTACTTTTCTTTGAATAACTAAATTTTCTGTTTAACATGCTAATACATGACTCTCCATTAAGGTTTTTTTTTTGTTTCTCAATTTTTATTATAAAATGAAATTACCTTTAAAAAGATCATGAGCCATTAGTTCACAGGCGGATGGTCTTTCCATTTCATTTTCTTCACAGGCTAAATCAAGAAACTGTCGTAGACCAGCGGAAACATTTTTAAGGAAAGATATTCTACTTCGTTGCTGTCGACAGGTTTCGAACTGTTGCTGTTTATAATTCGGCAGTTTCCCACTGATCATCTGAATAACTGTGCAGCCAAGATCCCTATAATAAATACATGTAAATAAGCATTTTATTAACAAATTGTGATTTTTGTTGCTTTAAAGTTGCCTAATTATTAAACTTTAAAATTGTTTGAAAAGAAACCTTAAAATACGTAAATATAAAGCTCATAAAGCTTATTTAAGAATGTATTTGTTTTAAAAGATCTAAATGTAGCTGTAAATGAAAGGTTTAAACTATTTAGCGATATATCAATTGTATATGCAATATTGTTTTGATGACAACAATCACTGTATTGTGGGTTTCATTTTATTTTAGAATATACTTACTTTAGTTGTAAGTTTAAAAAGTGCTCATCTGTCAATTGATTATTTGAAACTCGTGGCTAATAATCTCAGTTACACAATGCGGCTATTAGTACTAAATAAATTTGAAATTCCTCTTAAAAAAATAACTATGTAAAGCTTAGCAATATTTATATTTTGATTAAAAAGGCATTTCTAGTTAACGTCTTTGGTGATGAAAGGCCATGTTACAAGAAAAGGCATAAATATAAAAATTACATTTTTACCATATATCAACTTTGTCCGTATACGGCCTACCCCTTTCGATTTCAGGCGCCATGCAAAAAGAAATTTCTGAGCATTGCTTTAGTCTTTCTTGAAGTAGTTTTACTCCAAAGTCCGATAGTTGTATGTTGGATTCATTTTGCATCAAAATATTTGTAGCTTTAAAAGACAAGAAAAATGACTAGAAAATTATAACTAAGCTCAACAGTAATCAAGTATTATTACAAAGAACTGAAGAAAAAATAAATTATTAGGGTATGATTTTGCTCCCAATCGACCCCCGCCAATTTAATATGTACATTTAATTAATTTTTTTTTTCATTTTGTTGAACGTTTTTTTACATCCGTTTAGTTTCTTTTGTCGCGTGGAGAAAGCTGCAGATTATATGTAAGTAAAGTAAAGTTAAAGTTTCCTTTCAAACCTGACGGTTTTCGGGGCAGGTGAAGTAGAGTTCACCTGATTCTGTGACCTCGGTATATGAAGGGCTATGTCCAGCAGCCTTTATTTTCTTAAAGTTAGTTAGGTACCCATAAGAACTGGGTGGACTTGTACTGACTTGAACCTGGATTCGAACTCAAGACTTACGGGTTAGCAGTCTACCGCTAGCCCACCCATCCCTTCAGATTATAAGTATTTTATGTTATTTTGGCATTTTTTTATAAAGTTATAGGCCTATATTTAATGCCACTTTGAAAGCAAAAATCACCTGTAAGTTTTCCGTGTGTTATATTAAGGCTATGAAGATGTTCAAGGCCTTCAAGTATCTGATAAGCAAACATAGCTGTTTTTTCTTCATTAAGATGTCCATTTAATTGATGTTGGATATAATTTTCTAAAGAGCCCTTTATAGAATATACAATGTACAAATAATGATGAAATGACTATTTAATTACCAAAAAACATATAGTGTTTGTATTTAAATATTATCGAAAATTTGTCAGATACATTAAGTGTATTTGTTGTTTTTTAAATAAATTTCTCAGAGGCTAGTTGCTTCAATACCGGAATATATTAGTTGCTAAACTTTACTATTAAAATTTAATTGGAAATATAGTTATTCCTGTTCTACATAGTATAGGGCACGCTGAATAGGTATCAATTGTTGATTTTGAGATAGTTAATATTTAATTGTCCGTGGATGAATTATAGATTATTCATTTTTGATACTTCAAGAACAAAATGTTTTATTTTTATGCGAAAGCTTTTTTTGCACATTTGCATTTGTTTTACCATTTGGTTGCATATTTCCCACAATATTTGTTCATTCAATGGCTTCGTACGTTAATTTTTATAAATATAAGGATTGATATTTATTTCTTGGATCTGCGAGGCGTAAGCAAATTTTGGGTGACGATTTTGAAACAAAAGCAGAATTTAGAAAAGAAGCTATGAAAAACATACCTCGACATATATTCTGTTTTTAGAGTTCCCAAAACTTACCGGGGCTGGGGGATAATTGGGCCACAAGCGAGCAGCTAATGACATGCCGGGCACCTGGACCTTCACCTTGCTTGTGTTGGGGCACTATTGGGGGTCGTGGGTGGACTCTGGTGTCCTGTGGGGTGGGGTTGTATGTTTGGGTGGGGCTGTATGTTCTGTTGGGGTGGGGCTGTATGTTCTGTTGGGGTGGGGCTGTATGTTCTGTTGGGGTGGGGCTGTATGTTCTGTTGGGGTGGGGTTGTATGTTGGGGTGGGGCTGTATGTTTTGTTGGGGTGAATAATGAAAGAGCTTTCTCAGCTCTGCTATAGCCAAGAAGTTCTGCTATTCCTTGATGTCTAATGTTTTTGAGAATTTTCAATTTTTCTTCAATTTCCACCTAAGATCAAGGTACAAATTATAGTTTATGTACTTTCACCATTAAGCGATCGAAAAAGCTGAATTTGACGATGATGTTATTTTATGATTGAGTGTACTTTTTCGGTAAGTGCCTACAATGAATGTAAATGCTTTACATGAAAGTAATAATTGATCATAGGTGAATTTATAAAATTTAATGGGTTTTTTTTCGCTTGCAGTTAACTATATAGAAATATCCTTACCCATTCATCCGGATCCATTTAACTCCAGCAGACAAACTGTTTAACAGCGCATTGTGTTAGTAGTAATCTTTGGGAATCATTTACATGAAAAACTTGACCAAATCTACCTGTTCCAATTTGGTTGCAGAGTTTCCAATTTGTTGGTTCATGTTTTCCATCTAAAAGTACATTCCATCATGCAATGTCTTGGAATAAATAACTAATTTCATTCCCTTCTTTCGAGCAACATATTGAATGTGCATACTTATTACATTACCTTAACAGACTGAGGGTTTTAGTGATATTTTCAGTGTTCGGCAGTATGCTTGTAACTTTTGACCATAAGTATAGATTAAACATCAGCACACACATGTGTTATATATCATTGTGTAGGTATTTGATTTGTCTTTAATATTACTGAAGAGTTTTTAGGTGTTAACAATTGGTTTTAGTTTTGTAGCCTAAAATCTGATGGTTTAATTTTAAAAAAATAATTAAAAACTTTAAAATCAACAGTTCCTAAGAAGCAAAAAAATAATTGATAAGAGCTATTGAGTTAATATGTATATTTTATTGACTTACATCCATATATGCATAAATGTGACAATTTTGAATGCACTGTGCCAAGAAATGGATTTTTCACAAATTAATTGATCTTATGATGATCTTTACATGATTTGGACCTCTCCGCAAACATTTTTACTCTAAAAGTGGCAAACATAGGTTAACATGTAATCAAACACACACATAAGTCAATGTAATGAAATAATCAAATTGTAATATCTACAGTGCTTCTTATTACATTAAAACAGATGCTTTTAATGATCTTCAATTAATAAATAATGCGAACACACATGATAACTAAACAAACAATTTCCTTCTTTTTGTAAACATAAAGTGTATCATATAAACTTATCTACACTTAACTTATATTCTTTTAATATTGTTTTATCAATACAATAACAATTTAAAATCCTCATTCTAATCTGATATAGTATGGTTCATAGAATGGTTGGAAAATAATGGTGGCTTACAAGCCAAAGAAACAGTATGGTTAAGTGAAATATTACCTAACTTTCCAACTAACTTTTAAAGAGTGTAATTGGCAATACCATGTTGGAATTTTTTTTCCTAAGATATCTGGATTCTTTTCTCAATAATCTTGAAGTAAAATACAGAAATTAACTTTAGTTATATCTCAAAGGTGAAAAAAATTTAGTTCTAGTACACTACTAGTACTTAATTGTTTACCGAAGGACATTACAGTTTTATTAACCTATCACTTCTATCCACCACATAAGCTAACCCATCTGGCCCACTGAACAGAATAATAAAATATAAAAAACAAACCTTATGTGTAACCTCTCAATGATCAGCCAAAGCTCATAATTGCATACCCTACTGTTGGCTTATCCACAATCATAAGCATGATAATGTATTGTCAAGAAAAATATTCTTTCTAACCTTTGTCTTATCTATGGAAATATATAAAGCTACAACAATTTACTGCACTTAATTTTGATGTAAGTTGGGAGCATTATTTGTATAATATGTCCTCTGTATGTTCAGTATCTTGATAGTACATCTTTAAAAAAGCACGACACCTTTGAAGCAATAGCGTGATATGAAAACTTGAGCCGCAGTCCATTGTAGAGCATAGAGTAAATTCTTGCTTTAGAATCTGTCAAAATGAGTGTTGATAATCCCCAGAACGTATTATAAGTCCATAAAACCTGTAAGATTTAATCAGGTGTCGAATTAAACCATCCCGAGACAGATAGGTGATCTGCGTCGCTTTACATATCCATTGGTAAATTGACATAATGTATGTCACAATATCCACTGTAGAGTTTACAAACACAATAGGTTTGAGTAAACATATACTTCATTGTACTGTCTCCTGTCCTCATCTCAGCCAGCTGAATTCCTGGTTCTTTCTCAGGAGGTAACAGTCCCAGTTGATAAGGGATACCCATTCACTCCTTTTTTTCCTTTATAAATTCTCAGTTCTGTTGAAAAGAAAAAATGGTAAATATTTAAAATATGGATTCTATTTAATATTTTCACATATAATAATTTCATCATAAATGTTAGGTGATTTATAATAAGTTAGTACAAGTTAGTACTGTTTGTAAAAAAAGAAAACTGAGTTTTTATTACAGTCATGTAAGATCAGCTGATTTGTGTTTACATTCTAGACGGTAGACAGTACTGCTACCAATACTACTATTATTTAATAATTGTCATATACTATGAACTAAAACTAGGCTAGTTACATAGTAAAATGATTGAAGTGTTCTTTTAACTACACATTTATATCTAATTAATATCATTAAAAAGAAAAATTTATAAAAATCGCCAAAAAATTAGTAGGAAAAAAACGATAAAAACTGAGTTACTTACGATGTGTAGAGAAAGAGTTCAAAATAGTGTTCAAAACTGTATTTTCATTATCTCCAGTGTCTAGGACATCAGTAAGGTCTTACACTTCTTCGTTACTTGAATCTAAATCATTTTCACGCAGATAATTAGAATCTAATTCCATTTTCCATGAGGTCTGACCGAGAATGAATGCAAAGTCGGCAAGATGGCGGCGTCTCGCCGATCACGCGATAGCATTAATTTTCGTACTCAATAATATATAATAAGTTTAAAATTAATAATATTTTTTGCAGATTATGATTAATTCATCATTTATTTTGATATAAAATGCTATTGTGCTTGAAAAAAAACATGTTTATCACCATTTTTATGACCTCAAAGTCACATGACAATAATGGGACATAAACCAATCAATCGTTGGGTGGGAGTTAAAATTTGAAAATGGTCTCTTATACAAACACAAACAGAGCTAAATCTATAGTAAATCTGTTTTTTTCTGCACGAATTGTAGATAGTGTCATTAGTTTTCTTTAGGCTGTGGTCAGATTTACGTTCAATAGGAAAAGCAAAGATAGGGCTATAACTAGAGCTAAAGTTGTCAAAACAATGTTTTGATAGCAATAATATCGCTTTTGAATTTTACAAACAAAGCATTCAATTTATTTCTTATTTTTAGTAACCTCTTTTGCGATTTTATCAATATAGTATTTAAATGGAGAGTAAATCTTAACGCAGCTTAATGAAAGAAATATACATAGCAGGTTTAATCGTTTTTTAACTTATCGGTTTGAGTTAAGGTAATTGAATACTGCATTGAAACGTAATATTGTGCTACAAATATTGAACATAAGTCATTGTCTTTTTCATTAACGGTGAGGTAGCAATGTTTATAAATAATAAAGCAATAAACAAAGCATAAATCGTCATAGGCTTTTTATAAACGTTCATTTGCACAATTTAGTGAGCAGTGTTGATTTAAATTTTTTTTTTTACAATTCGTAACACTTATTTGTAATGTGGCCAGAGGCGTAGCGAGGGGGGGGGTACATATGTCCCCGGGCGCCGACCTTAGGGGGCGCCAAAATGGGTTGTAAAAACAAATTAAAATCTCATTTAGATGCAGTTTTGCATTATAAATATAAAAAAATATATATAGGGGGGTGCAAATATAAAATTTGAGGCGGCGGGGTGCAAATTGAAAGTTTGTCCCCGGGCGCCGGGAAGGGTTGCTACGCCTCTGAATGAATCATGTTAAAAATATTTCAGTAAAACTCAACTTATAATGATATATGTTTGTGTTGATGATTTGATCCTAGTCATATTACATTTTATTTTTAAAACAACACTTCATTTCAGTTCATTTCAGCTACATATCAACCATTGTCTATACACGCAATGACCTTAGTCTAAAACTCCAATCTTTTGATCAGACGC